ATATATATATATATATACATATATATATATATATATATATATTCAAAACAACTTTATCATATATATAATACATTATTAAAATATTTTATTATACAAAAAATAGGGTTTAACTTGTCATCATGATTTAAAGAACGCGGGAAACTTGCAGAAGGCAGACCGATGACCGATGATCGATGACCGATGACCGATGTTCTTGTGATCAAGAAAGCGCTTTATATCATTATATATATATATATCTTTTTAATATATTTTTTATATTATTATGTATTTTTTTAATGATATCTTTACAATAAATTCATATATTTAATCAAAATAATGTCCTCATTTTATTCTCAGTTTAGATGGCATAAAAAGAAAAAGAATCTGAGAAAAAGAAAAAGAAAAAATCTCAAACAAACATTTTATTGGAATATATATATATATTATATATTTAGCAACACTTTTTTGAGATATATATAAAGATAGATTACAATATATCCAGATGGAATTTACGCGCATGAAAATTTGCGTCATAAGTAAAATTTAAATGCATACAAAAATGAGTAGATAATTAAATATATAATATATGATCGATAAATATGAAATTTATTGACAGAAAAAAAGTTAGAGCATACCAGATACCAAAAATAATCCAAAAATTAATCCAATCTTCATTATTTTTTTAACATTTCTAAATTAAAAGAATTATTCAAACTATTACAACAAATAACCTGCTTTTTTTATATATACATTTCTTGTCATTTGGATTATTCAAATAGTAAATAGGTTTGTTTACGTTCTGGTAATGACAATTTACGTTCTCGTAATGATAATTGACGTCCTTGTAATTACAGTTTACGTTCTCGTAATGAAAATATACGTCTTCGTACTGAAAATTTACATTAGGAAAGTTTACGTTCAGACAGTTAGTGTCTAACAGTAACAATAAACCTTGAGCATGTTTAGAGTAAATCTTCATGATGATTAATGATGATGTATGCATTTTTAATCACATTTATTAAGTTTATGATTCTAAAGTATTAATTTTTTTATATTATACTAACAAATTTGTATGTTTTCAGCATTTTTGTCGTTTTCTAGTTCTTAATTTCTTCTTTGATTCTTCATAAATTCTTTATAAATATATTAACAACATTTAAATTGGTATAAACATCAGTTAAAATCAATGTACAGAAATGAAAAAGTTTGTACACAAATAAAAAAGTTTGTACACGAATAAAAAAGTTTGTACACAAATAAAAAAGTACATAACTAATATGTCGACAAAGCAATAAAACCTGTAATTATATGTTATGAAAGATTAATTATACCAGTAAATATGTTACAAATATAATTGTTTCATAGTTACCAAAGTATTTATAATTTAAATACTGTTTTATTATTTTTTTAAATACGTTTGTTATTTTTTCATTGCAGTTTTTTTTAATAAAATTCTTTAAAAAGAAAAAATTCTTGCAATATAAAAAATTTAGGTTTTTAAAATTGTTATTAGGATTCTGTACGTAGTTACACATTAAATGTTTTTTCGAATTATAAAGAGTCAAATTAATTTTCTTTTTTATATCTTGTGATAAATAATACATAGCACATATATATTTTGTATGCTTACATGATATTAAAATCGAAAAAAAAAATTAATATTTATAGTTAAAACAATATATTGTTATGATTACTTTAAATCTCTTGTTGCGTAGTTACAATTTGTTACGTAAGAATCCATAAAACGTTTTCCGACTCAAAAAAGTTTACATAAAAAGGTAAATATATTAATAAAAGAACTTCAAAATTTAACCTTAAAACATTTTTTCATTTATCGGGTATTACTTAGTTTAAAAGATTTTTTAAGCAACTTTTTAAAGTTGCATGATAAAATAAAATTAAACTTTTACAAATACAATACAATTACAAATTAATGCAAGTAATCGAAAACTAGTTTTTTGCATTTTCAAATAAAAATAAAATACGCCCCTAAATGAAATACCCTGAAAGTCTCCTTAAAAAGTTACCTTTTTTTTTGTGAAAAAAAAAAAGCTTCAATAGATCTCAATACTATGCGGAATTAAAAAAAAATTCATTAAGTTTTGAATAAATACTAAGTTTACTAAATGTCTACTTTGTATCTACTTTTACCAAATGTCAATCTACTTTAAATAAGTCTACTAAAAAAAAAAGGAATAAGATTTCCTTAACATTTAAATTTTAAGGACATTAAAAACAAATGCATAAAAAACATGCATAAAAAGCATTAAAAACAAATGCATAAAAAACAAATATCTTCGATGCCATTATTTGTCATCTTTACACCTGCATATTGGTATTTGGCATTCGCTTTATATTTATTGTTTGCTCCAGGGTATTGAGCACTTTCTAAAAAGTTTTTATTTTTCAATTTTTTAGTTTATTATTTTATTTGTAATATTCGTGATTAAAAAAAATCAAGATATAACAAGAACTTTTTTTTCAAATATCTTCACTTCCGACAAGGCCGAAAGCAACCATTATTACAGTTAGAAGTTACCGTAAAATATAACAATATAAGCTATTGAAAAAAGATCACAAACGATCTAATCATCGTAACCTTTTATACATGAAAACTTAGTTACAAGTTATCTTTTTGTTTTACTTTTTACTTTTACTGTTTATTTTATAAATAGATTATATACATTGTAGATAATTATGCTAAATGCTTGTAAAAGGTTCTGATGATAAGATCAGTACGATCTTCTTTCAGAAACCTTGTTTGTATTTGTTAAAGTATTGTATTACGACAAATGTAAACTGAAAATGTAAAAAAAAAAAAAAAAATATATATATATATATATATATATATATATATATATATATATATATATATATATATATATATATATATATATATATATATGATATATATATATATATATATATATATATATATATGTATATATATATATATATATACATATATAAACATAACATATATGCTAAGTTCGTTATAAATATTAAAGCTTCGTTTTTTACCAACATTAAAAAATTAAAGTTGATAAATATCAATTATAGGTGAAGACAGGGGAAAGATGGCGTACGTCTTAAAAGTCCTAGGTAATTACAAAACTATCAGTAGTGAAGCAAAAATACTTCGTTAGTATGTTTATGTTATCATAATTATTGATTGCCGGCATGAATTTTCAGTTTACAAGTAGAAAAATTTAAAATAAAAGTTAATATATAAAATTCATAAATTTGTCATCTGGTTATGTGACTGGCGCCAGATGAATTATTTTGCGATTTCTGAAATTTATTTATTATTTATAATATATTTATTATAAATAATAAATAAATATATTTATTTATTATTTATTTATAAAATATTTAAAACTACATATACAGTTTGTTTTCACCCGATTTAAGATTTTTTGTTGAGTTTTGAAAAGTCATCTTGCCCCATTTGCGATCATGCTCCGTTTCCTGCTACTTCAATATATTATCACTGATAATATATTGAAATAGAAAAAAAACTTTTCTTCTCATATCTGATAATATCAGATAGGAGAAGAAAGGTTTTTAGCATTGTTAAGAGATAAGCAAAGTAAGAAGTAGACAAATCAAAGTTCGGCACCTTAATATTGTTACACATATGTGGTGCTCATTGTTCAATACAAAGTTGATTAAATTTCTTCAAAAAGGTTCATTAATAAGTGATTGTATCTCACCGTATTATTATTATTATTATTGTCTTTAAAACAATAATAATAATACGATGATATACAATAACTTATTAATGAACCGTATTGTCTATAAGAGTTAGTTTATTTCGTCAATACGCGCACATTTTAAAGTGTTATCTTTAAGATCTAATAAATATATAAAATTACAATCTGACTGGGGCAAGTAGAAGACAAAATGTCTTATCATCAAAATGTCTTATCACTCTTTGTGAAATAAAGAGTCGTTCATAAATTACATCACGCAACTTTTGACCATTTTTTACCTCCCCCCTCCCTCCTCGTCAAAAAATTGTAACACTTTAAAAGCAAGTTTTGTATGAGTTATCACAAAACCATTAACACCCCCCTCCCTCCCATAAAGCATAAAGCGTGACGTAATTTATGAATGACCCTTAAAGAAAAATATAATTTTTCTAGTTCTAATATTCTACAAAAAAGTGAAATTAAAAAGTTAAAAAAAAAATTTATAAAGTTTGCAAAAATGAAAAAATCTTTTTAAAAAAAAAAATACGAATTGGTATTTATCGTATCGTAGTATAACGTAAATATAAAAATAGCGACCTGAATAACGTAATATCAAAGTGTAAACTTTTATATTACGTTATATTACGTTACTTATATTACTTTTATATTACGTTATACAATAAAAAAAGCGTATTGTATGACGTAATATAAAATTATAAAATAAATTTCTATTTTTATATTTACGTTATGTTACGATACGATATATATCAATTTGTATTCTTTAAATTTTTTTTTTTTTTCTTTTTTCAAATTTTAAAATTTTTTCCAAATTGGTTCGTAAACGTATAGATATTCAATACATTTCATTATATATATTTATATATATTTAAGTATTTGAAAGAGATTTAGAATTTAAGAAGATTCAAAACATTTGGAAGATTCAAATTCATCTATTTTTATTTTTTATACAGAATTAAAACAGACAAGCAAAAATAACAAGAAAGATATATCATAAAATGAAATTCTTTTATTTTTTTTTAAATGAAAGAGTGTTTTGTTTAAATTTAGTGTAGCTATAGTTCTTTTAAAATATCAATATATTTATATAGTTTATATATATTTATATAGCTATATATTTAGTTATTAAATTAGCTATGAATAAATGAGTAATAGAGTAGTACTTTCAGTTTGGTCAATGAAAATACGCGGTAAAGTTTGCAAGTAGATAAACATAATACTTAATAGACTAGGCAATTTATTCAAGTTAATTTTAAAAATCAAAAAAAAAGGGCGTCCCCAAAAGTGAACCCTGCTGAACACCTTAAGATATATCTAAAAAAATATTTTGACAAAAAATACTATAAGACACAAAATTTTCTATTTGATACATAGCTTTTAAACCATTTTAAAAGTTTGCGGTTTATTTCATAATGACTAATATTATGTAACAAAAAGTTGTGATCTACTGTATAGAATGTCTTGGAAAGATAAAAAAAAATATCAAATGTAAATTGAGAATTTTTTTAAGCATTTGAGGTTTATCGTAATGAGTAATTGCATGTTCGGTAGAATTATTATTTTTAACTCCGAATTAATAATTGCATAATTGCATATTGTAATTTAGATAGTTATTTACCCTGTAGAAAATAATTCTTTCTAAAAAATAAAATTATATGTTTCTCTTGATTTCTTTTAGCTTATATTTATAAAAAATTATAAAATATAAGCTAAAAGAAATCAAGAGAAACATATAACTTCACAATACTATTCATTATAACTTACATTGTTGTACTTGGAAAGCTGTCAAATTACAAACTGACAATACTTTTAAAATCCAGATTTATTGTAGAAACCTTTGACTAGAAATTTATTGTAGAAACCTTTGAAATAAAGAGACAACTAATCTAGTTAGTTTTTTTAAAACAGTTTTTTTCAAAATGCTTTTACATCAATATAGCAATCGAATTGTAAAATAACTTCATGATTAACCAGTATTATGCAAAAGTTTTTATTTCAGTAACCAGAGGCGTCCCTAGGGAGGGGGGCATTAGGCGACAATCGCCCTGAGCCTTTAATCTCCATTAGAGAACCAAAATAATGGAATAAAATTCAAACTCGTATTTTAAACGTATTTTATTCGTATTTTAAACACTTAGAGCTCTAACTAAATTCCATATTGTTCAGGAGAAATTATCTTACTTATA